CGCAGCGCTTCACAGCCTCGAGCCTGCACCTCGGGATGAAGCAGGTGATGGATCATGGCGCTGATTACCGCGAAGATTCCGTTCTCCTCCAGAATCAGGACTCGCGTCGAATCTGTAGGTACGATGGCGACAAGCAAGCGTGCGGGTGAGCACGCTGTCTCCCCCTCCCCCACTCACAATCACCGCTTGTACTTACCCTCTGCGACCAGGTGCTGTAGGGCGGTGCAGGCTCGCTCCTGGACGGCCCGGTTCTCCTCGTGGCCACGCATTGCGGTGAGAATGGCTACCACGCCGTCTTCCTCCCCGATCCTGGTGCGCAGCCGACCTTTACGACACGCAGTGTGGTGGTTAGGCACCTGCGTGTGATGCGTACTGTTCGCCATCCCGACACAGGGTGAAGCGTACAGTCGGCTGCTAGTGTGCGCAGAGCTCCGCATGCCAGGGCTTGGATCTTAGGGTTGGTCGCGTGATTCCGCATGGTCACGACTATCTTTTGGATGCCGCTCTGCACATCAATCTTCTGCCGGTTCAGCTCTGGACAGCGCAGGTAAGTTAAGACCAACTCATGACCAACTCATGAGTCCCCCCCCCTCTCCCCCACTCAAGGACGTCAAAGAGCCGGTACCGCTCGCGCTGAGATTCCATATGGCAGCGCAGGCCTGCTCCTGGACGCGTGCAGACCTGGCGTGGTTTGTCATGGCAGCGATCACGTACGTGATTCCGCCCGTCTTGCCGATCTTCGTCCTTCCCTTATCTGAGGGAACACACGCACCGCCGCACACGCACACACACACACACAGCTTTAACTCCGACTTGAATCGGCGCAGCACCACCGCACACGTACCGTGCAAGGCCAGGTTCCATAGGATGCCGAGCGCGTACTCCTGCACCGGGGCCGTGAAGGGATGGTTCTTCATCGCCTCGACGATGCATCCCACCCCGCCCTCGCTCAGGATGCGGCTCTTGTTCTTCTCTGTAACGAGCGCAACGCACCACGGCCCCGGTTGGTACGCATGGCATGCACACAGTTTGAGTTGGGGCTTGCGCAGCAGCTAAAGCTAACGGTGGTGGACGGGGCAGTAACTGTTGCCGATGCTCAGGTTCCACAGGGCTGCGCAGGCCTGTTCTTGCACCGAGGCCTTGTTGTAGTGGTTCTGCATGGCCGAGCAGATGTACAGAACCCCCTTCAGGTCCGCGATCTTGTTCCTGTACGAAGCTGGAGGTAACGACCATGTGCGATGCCAAGAGGTGGCGATGGTGATGGTGGTGGTGAGGCCTCACCTTCCTGCAGCCAGCGGCGAGTGGGAGGAGGTCGAACCGTGAGCTGCGATTCGCCTGAGCGCCAGGCAGGCCAACTCCTGCACGCGGGAGTGGGTCGAGTGGTTCCTCATGGCCGTAATGATGTTGCCGATGCAGCCCTCCTCCACCACCCGCAGCGCGCCCTCGTCTGTTCGGCACCGAAGTCACCACAACACGGTAAGGTAAGCCCTTCACTCTTCGCCTCGCGTTGCACAAGAGACCACCACATCATCAAGGAAGGTGGATTGTGCGAACGAACGAACCTGTGGTGGCCAACGCGGCGATCTTCTTGCAGACCTCGCCCTGGACCGAGGCATCGCGCGAGTGCGCCACCATGTACTCCACCAGGCTCTCGACCGAGTTCTGGGCGTGGACGGCGTCTTCGGCCACGCCATGCCCGGTCGAGGATCCCTTCTTGGCACTCGCTGCGCTCATCGTGGTCGCGCTACAACAACTACGAGTACTAGTACTATGATGATGGGGTTCGTCTCCTGTTTGGCCTTGGTCTTGGCTCGGTCTGTCGCCGCCGGTTCTACTACCTGCTGGGATGACTCGTGGATGGTGGAAGGTACTGAACATGAAACAGACAAGTAGCGGGCGGGGCTGGAGCCAGAAGGCAGGCCACTCGTTGCCTTGTGTGCGCCATGACACACTACGAAGTGGATCAAGGCGTGCCGCTGCACCCTGTGCCGGGGCCTCTTTTCCCCGTATTCTTCCTCTTCTTGTCTTGTTCCTGTTTCACCACTACAGACCAGACAAGAATTACCACGGAGTGGTCGAGCGTACTTCGTATGTGCACACGTCTTGCCGTGGACAAAAGACTGCTACAGCACAAGAACAACACAAGCCATCCACGATCGCCAGGGCAGCTCTCACGTTCATAAGAAAAAGAGAAAAAAAGAGAAAAGAAAATATGAAGAGGAAAATAAAAGTTAGTATTTTTTGTATTTTGAATAATTTTACGCTTGACTGATGAGCGAACAAACGTCAGTGTGGGCGCTGCCGCCAGAGTTGTTGCTCCATGTCTTCAAGAGCCTTGCCCTCCGCGTACGCCTTACCAGGGTCTTTTTGGGCGCCATTTTCGGATATTAAGGATTTTTATCGATCGATTTGTAGGATTTGGGCGTTGCTGCCGAGGTGTGCAGCCACTGGAAGCTGCTCGCTTACGACAAGACCCGTACGCCCGCTCTCCCTCTCCCATGGCCCGCCGCGCTTCTCACACCACGCACCATGCACCCGCACCAGTGTGGCTCCCGCTCGACTTCTCGCAAGACTTTTGGCGCCAGCGGGAGGACTTGAACAAGGCCTTCCCACGCATCGTGGACATGGTCTGCAGCGACGTACGACTCTCGCACTTTCGGCCCATTGTACGATTGCACGTGCGCTGACACGACACGACACGACCAACGGCACGCCAGGTGGTTGAGTTGAATTTGAGCTATTGCGACCACAACCTGAACGAGTCTGCGCTGCTGGCCATCAGCAAGTGTGCCAATCTGCGGTGGCTTTCACTTGCGTGGTGCCGGTGCGCACGTTGGTCGTGTCGTGTGGCTTTCCCTGATCTACTCTGTTGTTTGCTGAAGCTCTTGTCCCCCCCCCCAAACAGCCAGACCACCGATGAAGTGCTGAAGACGATCACACACAACTGCCCCAACATCACCCACCTGGACCGTACCTTGCCACGCTCTTAAACAATGCGCACACGCACACGCACACGCACACGCACACGCACACGCACACGCACACGCACACGCAATTTATAATAGAGCTGAACCAACCCGCTGTGTTGATGCGCTGTGAGACAGTCCGGGGATGTGCGCAGCTGTCGATGCACGCCCTGGAGACGCTCGAGCGCCTGCCCAACCTGGAGAGCCTGCGGCTGGACTACTGCGTTCTGCCCAA